CAGTGTAAACGTTCCAGCGCTTCTATGGGTATGATTTTCTCTCACTGCTACTTTCTCCCAACCTCTTGCAAATACCTTTTCTTATCTTCATATCGTCGCCCTCTTTTCGACTACGCTGACGTTTCGTGGGCTGGCTTATCAGCAACAAGCGAAACACGCCTGGAAACGCATCACAAAGAAATTCTAAAGCTCCTCTTCCGCCTACCCCGCATGACCCCTTCCTCTGACCTACATGTATTATTACGCTCCCGCCCAAACCTTTGCTGATTGCAGTGAATAGACGGAGCATCCACCTACTCAAAGTTGCCCACCTGATTAAACTGCGCCTCCACCCCCGCATTTTAGCCGCTATAACTGGTTCTCCGATTTCTCTAGAACACGCAATTTGCTCATCCTACCCCCAGGTCGAACAGTCAAATTGCTTAATTTGCCTCTGTTTCTTGCCTTCTCGGCATGGCTTCTTCTTCATTATACCACCAAGCTCGCATCATGCCATCACGTCCAGATTTCCGCACTGCAATAGTCCCCTTCTAGTTACCTTTTCTTTTTCTTTTCTCCCTCCTTTCTTTCTATTTATACTTCTTTACGTTCCTCAGCAGTGGACCGTGGTTGGCTTTCACCCCTCCTCTTTGATTGGAAATTACATGCTATGGGATGTGGAATAAAAAAATAAATAATAATAATAAATGATGCAATGAATATAACTAAATGCGCACTCATATCACAACCATGGGGACGAATCATGTACATGTATTCCAGAACGTTTTCTTGTCACAATTATCAATGGAATTTCCTATCATTTCTCACCTCACCTATAGTTTATTACCTGTGCACATTGTTCCTAGGTTTGTGCTATTTTTCTTACTATGCTTGTATCCTCGCTGTTCCACTCCAAGTGTATAAATCCTATTGTAGTTTCATCATTCTCGTTAGTCACGAATTCCATTGATAATTGTGACAAGAAAACGTTCTGGAATACATGTACATGATTCGTCCCCATGGTTGTGATATGAGTGCGCATTTAGTTATATTCATTGCATTATTAAGATTATTGTCTCCACGTCGCCTTTTTAAATAATAAATGAAGAAAAGAAAAAGGACATAATGGAAACGAGTTAAGAATAACTCTCCACCACTGTAACTAGAAACTATATACAGTCAGAAAGTGCAACAACTAGGCACAAAACTGACAGAGTACTGAGACATAATAATATTAATAATATTCGCGGGATCCGCGTCGGCATCGCTTGAATGTTCAGAAACACACAAACTAGCCTTCGCATCCGCAGGCCACCACTATGCCTGTTAACCTTAGTGAGGCCACCACTATGCCTGTTAACCTTAGTGGCGAATGCAGACCTCACAAGTGAGTCAGGGGATAATAATATAAAATGAAAATAATCGACGCGGAGACAACAATTTTATAATAGCTATAAAGAGAACAAATTCTGCTGCCATCGCCACACTACAACAAAGTCATGAAGGTTTACCAAAATCGATTTTCTTGTCACAATTATCAGTGGAAAGCCGTGACTCACTTTCCCTCATTCTATTTTAGCACTTTGGTTTGTTCTCGTAACACATTATTGAATGTATATTAATCATTGATTCAGCATGGTTACTCTTCAGTCACGGCTTTCCACTGATGATTGTGACAAGAAATTCGATTTTGGTAAACCTTCATGACTTTGTTGTAGTGTGGCGATGACAGCAGAATTTGTTCTCTTTATAGCAATAGTAAATGAAGAAAAGAAAAAGGACATACCGGTAATGGAAACGAGTTAAGAGTAACTCTCCACCACTGTAACTAGATACTATAATTACTATTATACAGTCAGAAAGGGCAACAACTAGGCACAAAACTGACAGAGTAGTGAGACATTCGACGTCCTGACACCTAGCTTCAACACATCTCCGTAGCGCTAACTGACAGCTTAAATAATAATAAATGAACTTGGGTGGAGAGCCAAGGATAAATTTATAGGAAAGAAAAGAACCAAGGAACTACAAGTTCGCTATAATGTCCACAAACACCACCACTAGTTACTTGATGTCCTCACAGCTAAGCCATTCAGCTTGTGCTTGTCTTGGTTGTGTGCACCTTCCCCTCCTATGTTATTCCAATAACTTAGAACCTTCCAAGTTGGAAGGCCGTTGGAGTGCGAATCCAAGACGTGCTAGAGTTGATTGGTAGTTAGTTGCAGAATGTCAGTACCGTCAGTCAGTTTTGTGCAATTTTATCGCATGGGCTGATAGTCAGTAACTAATGGTGGCGTTAATGGACATCATAGCGTAACTTGGAGTTCCGTCGTCCTTTTCTTTACTATAAAATAGATGATAACGATAAAAAGGATCAATTGCACACTCATTCTATACACACATCAAGGTAAAGGTGGAGGCTCGCGCTTTTCCTGCAGCCATGACTTGAATCCTCACTTGACTGACTCACGACTGACATCCAGAGCACACGAGAAATCCATCGAACCTTCCACTCAGCAAA